ATGTGATGTGTGAAACTGTCACACGTCGGCTCTATAGAACAGGAAGTGAGCGAAAACATACCGTTGCTCGCTCACTTCCGGATCATCTTCCTGCAGAGAGCTGTGACTGTCAGTCACCACTCCCTGCTGGGATTCCCCCCTCCCCTCTTCGATCCTACAAGCACTGACTGGGGGAATGGACGGGGGAGGGGGCAGGCACAGCTGGCTCTACCTTTAGATAGGCAGAGCCCGCTGTCAAAGGGAGAAAGGGAGTCTGAAAGAAAACAACTTCCGTGGCTCTTTCTCTTTAGAAATCCCTTACAGTGTACATTAAAGGTTAGACCCTTTCTCAAGTGTTTACTGCTGTCTGTGACCCCACTGGTGATTTTCATAGTTAGAGCCGACGTGTGACAATGAAACTGTCACACATCGGCTCTATTGATCGAGAAGTGAGCGAACACATACCGTTGCTCGCTCACTTCCGGATCATCTTCCTGCAGAGAGCTGTGACTGTCAGTCACCACTCCCTGCTGGGATTCCCCCCCTCCCCTCTTCGATCCTACAAGCACTGACTGGGGGAATGGACGGGGGAGGGGGCAGGCACAGCTGGCTCTACCTTTAGATAGGCAGAGCCCGCTGTCAATCAGCCAGCTGGGTGGATCTCAACAGTATTGTCGGGATCCGTCCCGAATTCGGCGCTCTCAGTATATAGCAGGCAATATCCCGCTATAAACTTAGCTTTGGGTCACGGGAAGAGGTTAGTATATGTCCTCCTGTGACCCTAAAGAGAACTATGGGATAAAAAGTTTACCCCATAGTTCTCTTTTAAGGCCATACACCAGGAGCACAATAGCAAGCATATGACAATATAGGTATATCCATATAGTCTCAGATTATACAATACAGTGTAGCACACAATTGTGCCTATTTATGTATTAAAAAGGCACATAGCAATATAGGAAATTCAGGACTATAATACTGTTGCTTTGGTGTCTCCGTTCTATGAGAGTTTAGGTTTGGTGGTGATGGTATTTTATCTCATAGTAGGGCAGTACATGGTAAGGAGGGTAAGGAGAAAGATCAAGGTGGGGGAAAGCACAGAAGAAAGCAAGAAAGCAGGAAGGAAGGTGACGGGGGAAGGAGGAGGGAAGCTGTGGTAAGGAGAAAGGAGGTTCCTCTCCTCCATCTGGAATCGCCATCCTTCATGTAGAGTTGTATCAGTTGTGAGATGTTCATGGAAGGTCCTCATGTAAGAGGGCCTTATACTCAGAAGTGGAAGAGAAATCAATCCAATAGAACCAGGTCCACCATAATTTGTTATGAATTCCTTTACTGGATGACATAAGGTCTTCGATTTGTTTAATTTAATTTACTTTATTTATCCATAATGTGCTGGATGGGGCATGTTGTTGTTTCCATAGTTTAGTATTACAGCTTCTGGTTGCATTAATCAGGTGTGGGATACACTTTTCTTGATATAGTGTTTTGATGTAAGAGAAAAGAAGGCCGGGCCTAATGTAATGAGGAAGTCTGTGATGCATCAGTGGGTAAGGATCTTAATAACTGATTCTTGTTTTTTGTGTATGTAGTAGATTAGCTTCTTTTTTTTCTTGTATGCATTGGTGTTGTAGGTCCTGTTCCCACTTAGAAATTAGGTTTTAGACAGAAAGTAATGGATACATTATAAAGACGGTATGTCTGAGACTTTATAATTACTCACATTCACTTTCAAACAGAGTGAGTGCCCTAGTGCAATCTTGAGCAATGGGCAGAGATCTCAGGTAGTGGGAAAGTTGGACTGTACACCAAAATCCCAGGCAGTCCAGGTATGAATCTATGGTCAACAGATCCTGCCATTGGTGGTTAAATATAAAAGGAATTAATGGATACATTATAAAGACAGTATGTCTGAGAATTTCTAATTACTCACATTCACTTTCAAACAAAGTGAGTGCCCTAGTGCAATCTTGAGCAATGGGCAGAGATCTCAGGTAGTGGGAAAGTTGGACTGTGCACCAACATCCCAGGCAGTCCAGGTATGAATATGTGGTCTTCAGATCCTGCCATTTGTGGTTAAATATAACATGATGTGCTCTATAAAATCCAGAGTGTATAAGTTCTTGGAAACAGGGGTCTTCCAAGTCTGGTGACAAGGCTGGGTTCCCCAATATAAGAAAGAGGGGATAGTGATGGGGAAATTCTGTCTCTCTAAAATAATTTTCCTACAAATGGTCAATGTTCCTGCCAATTGTGGCATGGTACCTAATAGCCGGAGGTAGGTTATCTATACACTGTGGTAAGGAAACTACCAATATCTTAAACAGAAAGCTTTTCTTAGCTATATAGTACTTTCCACAGAAATGTATTTGTTTAGGATCTGTAGCGCTAACTAGTGTATCTACTGCCTATATCAGCAATAATAAGTAGAGTTCAATAATTGACTGGCCTTATATGCTGCCTAATGGCCTTCTCTTCTAGCTATGCAAATTCGGGATGATGCCAGTATTATGGCATCTTAGGATTTCCTGTGTTGACTGTTATACAGTGATTACTGTATAATGAAATATCTAGCCAGGAAGGCAAGGTCACTGTTCTTGTCTTGTATACTTCAGCTTTTCATTGATGCAAAAATCAGCAGAAAGTAGTGTAAGTTTGATTAAAAACAAAAGGTAATTTGGAAAGTTGTGTTGCTGACCTAAAGTGGTTTAGTGTGTTCATTTATATTGAAGAAAGTTTGAAGAAACGCAAAGATAGTTCCTAGCGCATTCTCACACTGTATTATCTATAATACAGACCAGTACACTACAGGTGATTGCAGACTATACAGTAGATTTGCCAGCTGGCCTGAACAGACAGTCAGTGATGATTTTAGGTTAAAATTCCACTTATCTGCATTTGTCACACTGTGCATTATTCTAAAGTGGTTAAGTTAATATAAAGTAATAGTGAGCTAAATCAATCCTATCACTGCCATTTTTACTTATCAGTAATACAAGGGCCAGCTACTCTGCTCCATTGCCAACAAAAGGCGATGCTTAGTTTATTGCCTGTAAGATCGAGCTATCTCATTCCAGTAAAATGAATCATTTTGTAAGATAATATTCACCTAAAGTATGCAATACAAAACCTGCCAACAGACGGCACCCAGGCCCTGGAGAGATTGCAAATAAGTAAGGTTATGTCCTTTCTATGAAGGAATTTGTTTCTGCTGATGATCAGCCTTGAAACATATAGAGTCGCAGAATTTTTATTTTTTTTCTATTTTCAATATTTTCATTTAAAGTACACCATTTTTAAAGTGATACCTCACTTTTTTCATGTAAACTTTGTTGAAGCATTGGCTACATTAATATATCTGAGGACATCAAGAAGCTTTGAAAATATAACCTCTTACCCCATGCTCTGAGAGCTGTCAAAAGCGGCACAAGGGCGTTTAAACCTTGCATTGTTTAGACTCTGCTGTCTGTAGTACCGTTATGCCTTTAACTGTACATTCACAATATCTTCTGCATAACAACTACAACTTCCAGTCAAGGCTGCAGCTGGAGTGGCTACGTACACAAGCTGCTGAAATTAAAGAATGTGGAGAGCTGAAATCAGTGTCTGCTTTACCCTGTGCATACCTACTTGGGTTAATAAACATTTGCCAAACCAAGCTCCGAAAGTCTCATGTTTCAGACACTTGTTGGTGGAGGTATTTTGATCATAATCAGAGTTCAGGGGTCCACCGGGAGGTAGCAAAGTGATAGCATATGGAAATAATAAATATTCAGAAATTTGGTTACAGCAAGAAAGGACAGTGCAAAAGACAAGGACTTGGTGAGCATGTCCTTCAATTGCACTGCATGGAGGCATATTGTTTATTTAAGGTGCCAATAATTTTGTGCAGTCCATTTTTGGAGTTGTCAGATTAGGCTTTTTTTTCTCAACTTTTTTTGTGTCATACCAATACAAACAAAAGAAATAAACACGAGAATGCCTAAATATTTGTAATTGCAACAGTTTTCTGCGCAAAGTGGTGCATTATCTGACAGAAATGCAGAGGTGCCAATATTTTTTGCCATGACTGTATGTTTGATGAGTGCAAAAGAATACTGGTGATCCTTCGGCCGCCTCTGCTCTTCGGTTCAGTCGAAACGAAGGGCTGCTGTACGGGCTATTCACAATAAGGTGGCCAATCGGCTCAGCCGAGCCGAAGGCATATGCTTTGGCTGGACTGAGCCGAAGTGACAGCCGAAGCGTGGAGAACGGCCTGCCGAGGGCCAGCCGTTCGCCCCGCAAATGACAGCTGGGCGGAGTCAGCCGTGATCTCACGGCTGACTCCGCCCAGTTGTAATGACAGATCAGCGTCCCCAAATGACCTGGGGATGCTGATCTGTCATTAAACAATAACAACTGGACGGAGCCGGCTGTGACGTCACAGCCTGCTCCGCCCAGTTGTTATTCATTGGCCGGGACCTGCTAGAAGACTCTAGCATATGCTGGGCAATAGGAAACAGTTGGGCGGAGCTAGCTGTCACTGCTGCCATTTGGCCTCTATGAGAATAAGGGCAAATGGCAGCGAGTGAGCTGCCGGAGCTTCGGATCAGCCGATCCAGATGTTGGATCAGCTGAATCGAACTCCTGAGTCGAACTCCGAAGGCAACCGATGTACGGCTGATATTACCCGATGTACGGCTGAAATCAGCTGTACAAGCCCGAAGTGAATAGCCGAACAGCATTCGGCTCACTTCACTACGTCTGGGTTATTCACTCGGCTGCCTTCGGCAGCTTTGTGAATAACCCCTTACATGTTAATGCTGCCAGAAACTCAGTAAGCTTGTTACTTCCTGTAGTGAGCTGGCAACACAGTGCCTTTTCTGTATTGAAATCCCAAGGAGTTCTATCTGCCATATTCAGTTTACCAAATGTTTTATGATTTCATCATTTAAAAAAAGAGTTGTTTTGATGTCAGTTTGTGCCATGCATATTCTATTATCATTACAGCTGATAACATAGTTTTTGTTTCTGGCGTACAACAGACCCTCCACGTAAAAGAGTTGATTCACCAATGCTAAATCGCCATGGAAAGCGCCGTCCGGAAAGAAAGTCAATGGAAGTCTTAAGTGTGACAGATGGGGGCTCTCCTGTCCCTGCTCGACGTGCTATTGAGATGGCACAACACAGTCAAAGGTAGGATTCCACTGAACATAACTTGGGTGGTTTGCCCTGAATTTAAGGTTCTAAAGGTTCCACTATGGGCTATGGGCTATGGAGGATCCCAGTTGTAGCTAAATGACCTGAGCTTAACCAAGCATGTGGGTGGATTTGCACTGATCTCTATGCTCTGTAGACACAGACCTAGATTATGTGGTCAATGAGTATTCAGGTCGTTTTTAGACAGTTGGCAGAGAAAGTGCTTCCTAAGAGTCTGCATTTTTTTAAAAAGCCAGAGTATGTACACCGTACACCGTGAGAAATGAGAGAACACAACAGCCCCGAGTGGGTGGAAGAATCCAGAGCCCACTGTAAATCCGTCCGGAATGATCTTTTGTAATAACCTGAATCTCCACTATTAGATCTTGTGTGGATAGGTTTTTGTTCACATCAGAACTAAATTTCTCCATATACAAGTCAATGACAATGTATTTTTATGCAGATTAATCTAGCTCAAAAGGAGGTCAAAAGCACCTATGAAGGAGCTCAGAATAATCTTCAAAGTGTCTTAACTTGATGTCAAATGGAAGCTGAAAGTACCCAAAAGCACATTGCATTTTCCTATCAACACAAGCCCTTAAATTGTTAGATTAGTGTGGCTGTAATGTGTGCATAAACCCCCCAATTTCACCCCTAATGCAACATTTAGAGGATTGGGCCATTTAGGAAATCTGCAATTATATCTTTATATTTATCCTGTCAACTCTGGACGAGAGGTTATCCCTGCACCACGTATGGAATGCAGGCATGAGTCAGGGGTGAGCTGTGCTTCTTTCTTGGTACAAATGTAGGACATGCAGTGTGGTCCTTCTTTGTAACAATAAGAGGGGCTATGTTAGAGTGAGAGCTTATAAATATTGCATTTAGCCTGAAAAGACTGCAATGGTAATAGCTATCAAGTATATATTGCTCCTGGAAAAAACAGCCTCAATGTCAGCTAATATGATGAAAAATGATGTGATTGTGTTATTACTGAATAAGCAAAAGGCAATTGAGGATTTTATTGTAGATAAACACAGTGTATTGTTTTAAGAGAAATCAATTGAAATAGCTGGAAGGAACAGAAATGAGCAGCTCCAAATCACAATACTTGACCTATATACTGTATCTATCTCTCTGAAATCTAATCCTTTAAAGCATACAATTTAAAATGGGGCAGCAAGGTGTCAGCTTCTTTGTTCCATGAGCAGTGGATGATAGATCTCTCTTACACAGGTCCAGATCTGTCAGTGGTGCATCAACTGGCCTCTCGTCTAGTCCTCTCAGCAGTCCTAGGGTAAGTATTTACAAGAAAATCTTTAATATCACAGATGATTTGACAGCAGCAATGGGCAAGACTGCATCATATCATATCCTGTTTGTTGCATATCATGCTGTCACTACAACAACCTGCATTATCACACCATGACACCTTACATTGCAAACACCATCAGCAGATGTCCTGCACTATTAACAGATACGTCCTCTTTTCTTCTCCTATTCTTATAATGTAAAGCTATATTTTCCATGTTTGGCTTATCATTGTCATACTATAGATATGGTTATGTGTGTATGCTACCAGTTTAAAATACATTTCCAAGGTTTGAAGTGAATAAAGATAGTTAGCTGAAGAAGTGATTTCTAAAAATCAAAGCATTTTTTAAGAAATCGTTTTCAGTCAATCTAATCTGAAGCTTTGCAAATGGAATGTCTTAAAGGAGATATCCTTCAAATTTTTTTCATGGCAAAAAGTGATGGGGAGTACTGATATATAAAAGTTGACCTTTTGTTTGCATGCTTGATATAAAAAGGAATATATATTGAAGTTTTTTTAAGCTATTTAACATTTTACTGTATATAATGTACATTAAAAATTAAATCAGATGCCCTCTAAGCCCCTCACCAGGCACATATAATGTACTTTCCAGCAAGAAAGCAAGCTTGAGCTGCTAGAAGCAGCAAGATAGTCTATATCCAAGTTGTTATGTTCCAGGGTAGTCATTGTTATCCTCGCTTCAGCATTAGTAAGTCACTGACTAGACACCTGACCTAAGCCGGGTCAAAGATTCAAGTATAGAGTCAAGGAAAAAAGTCTTGTATCACAGCGGCTGAAAATAACTAGAACTTTTCCTATGGGCGTCCTTAAATCAATTTGATCAATTTACTTTTTAAAGGGAACTCTACTAAACTGATTTTCAGTGATTGGCTGTCCTAGGGAGGTGAGTCTGGGATCTGCGAACCTCATGAAACTTGTGACCTGCATCCCCTTCCACAGAGAAATCAAATGGATTTTGTAGAGGGAGATTGTGCAGCAGGCCACAGTTTCCACACTAGGATACCAAGAGTTGGACCAGAGGTGAACCTAATTTAACACATATCGTACTATGTTCAAGCTGGCCAACTGCATCAACATATGTCTCTCTCTCTCTCTCTCTCTCTCTCTCTCTCTGACTCCCACTGGCTATAAAATATATTTTACCTTTTTTTTTTTAAATATACACATATTACCACATTTATGATGGGTGCCAGAGGGTGACCTGGTATAGCCACTCCTGTAATGTGGTAAAGAATTGCCTGACTAGAGAATAAAGAAAACAACATGATGTCTATGGCTCAGTTACCTCTGTCATACAGTTAATCATGCAGTTAATGATTGTTATATATAAACTTCATTTACCACCTTTTTATATCATTCAGCATAACATATAATTGGTTTTAGGGCCAAACATTATTGTCAAGCTGGTTCAGATTTGTGTACTTTCCTAAATGTTTAAGGAAATACATAAATAAATACACCAATTAAATTAAATACATGAAAAATTATATATATATAAATATATACTTTTTTAAACAGTATACAATGGGCACAAAACAGGGCATATGTTTTCACTGTAAGCCTACATGTACTGTGCTAGTCATTCCATATCTGTTGTTTGGAGATAATGTACATTAGGAAAACGTAGCCTTGAATACTTGTGTTGTTTACCAGCCTATTTTAGAATTGGCATTAATTAAGGTTCATATCTGTTATATATGTTGAGCACACAGCAGTAGAACAACATATCCTACCACATTGCTCCATCTCATTGTCAAACATCAATGCCCATTGGGCACTTTTCTGTCCCCCCTTGCCAGAGTCCCGTTTTCACTTTCTCCCCCACACCGCTGGAAGCCGCTGATGGGGAGGATCCCCGTGCCATCTGGCAATCCAAAGCTGCTCACCGTCAGCCTGACCCGAAGACCCAAACACTGCCTGCTAAGACCAGTCTGGGAGAGAAGCCCCTCCACACCATTAAATCCAATCCCTTACCCATTACCATGACTGCCTCCTCCCCGCCGCATGACTCCTCTACTTCGCCTCATCGCTCCCCGTTATCCCCACCTTTCTTTCCTTCCTCACTGCCTGCTCGTTTTTTCCCTGGTACTAAATCCACCACCAAATCTATCCCTTTGCCGCAGGTGACCCCTCACCCTTCTCCCCGAGGTAGCCCCCTCCCTACCCCGCTGGGCACTCCAGTACATACGCCCAAGGACAGCCCGACTGGGACACCCAGTGGCACCCCTCCCTCCAGTCCTGGTGTTGGTGGAGTGGCTTGGAAGACACGGCTCAACTCTATCAAGAATAGTTTTCTGGGATCCCCACGATTCCATCGTCGGAAATTGCAAGGTAGGTTTGATTGTTCTGTATGAGCTTGCCATCTAGTGGCACATTGTGAAATTGGCTACAGTATTATAGATTAAACAAAATGACTGTTGCCTTGTGCCAGCTAACAAGGATATTCAAAGATCAGATCAGGATAGAAAAATCTAATAAATAAAAAAGAATGAATATTATTAACTGAAATTAAGATGCTAAACTAAAAGACAGGAACCTCAAAATGCACCTTAACATTTTGTGCAAATGAAGCTTAAGCGTCAGACAATACTAGGCCCTCTATGGGGTCAAGACATACTTAGAGAAGAACCTTGGGCATGTAAAAAATTAACCCTTGCAGTGTGACTTCCCCGCATATTGCAAGGGGTAAGTGCTCATTTTGGTCCAGGATCTAAAATTAAAAAGATATACTCACTCGATTCTTTGTCCTGTCTGGTTGCTAGGCTGGCCCCGCAGCCTCTTCTCCCCCAGGCTCCAGCAGTCTAAGGATCTATGATGTCATCACGTCCATTGACTTGCATTGGACATGAGGACATAGAGGGATATTCCACAGCTGGAGTGCAGGGAGAGCGAGGTGAGCAGTCACCACCACGTGATCAAGGATCAGATGAGTGTATCTTCTTTATTTTAGACCAAAATGAAAACGTAACCCTTGCAGTGCCGGGGTAGCCTCACTGCAAGGTTTACTTTTTACATGCCCGAAGATTTTCTTTGATATATTATATTGGGAGTGCCACCAATTTCAGATTTGAAATTTTCCTTTGTATCAGCGATTAGTATTGTTTTGCACCCATTATTCTATCCAGGGGTGATAATGCTGATGAAATCTATATATTTGTCCTGGTGACCATGGTCAATGAAACGGAAAGTAAAATCCCACATTTTAGAGTTGTCATTAAAGCAAGAGGTGAGTGAAAATCTTCCAACAGGGACACATTTTCTAGTGGCAACTGTTGTATTTCCAAGACAGAAAGCAAAAATAAATTTCTTAGCAGGACACAGACAGGAAAAAATACCATTACAAAGGTTTTAACCCTTCCCATGCTGGTTTTGGTTAGACATATACTTTAATAATCAGAAACCTATGAAATCATTGAAAAATAAGGTAGGTCCTGTGTGTGGCCACATGTGATAACTGAGCAGCTCTAAACCAGGACAAGTAGCTCTCTGCCTGAAGATTTTATTCTATAAAGTGACCCTGTCAGAGGGTTAACAAAATTGGAATGACAGAATGATGTCAAGAAAGCAGCATTTTACTTACCTGTCCAGTGGCCTATTTGCTGAAACTTTGCTTTGTAGCAGAGCTCGCTTCCAGCATCGATCCTAATCAGCTTTCCCAGGCTTGTTGAATAGTGTCTTTCCTGCTGTTTGCTGTGGTTGCTCCTGCTGTCCCCTAGTCAGTGCAGGACACGGTAGTGACATAGGGCTTGGAGGGAGGAATCACAGAAACCAGCGGGAACCATGTTATTCCACATACCCAAAATAGGATTGGGACTGTTACAGAGCAAAGTTTCAGGAAACAGGCCACTGAACAGGTAAGAACTGCCATTTTAATTTTAATGCCCTGGCAGGATCACTTTAATCTGTACCATCAGCCAAAATAATATGATGGAGAGAGTAAGGCCTGGTTCACACCTGTACGTTTTGTAGCGCGTTCAACGCTCTACGAACGCTCTACAAAACGCTCAAACATGAAAATCCCATTGTTTTCTATGGGTATGGTTCACACCTTGTTGTATTTCAGCCCGTCTGAACGTGCTACAAAACGGCCTACGCCTGAAAAGGTACATGAGCTTCTTTGCGGCATTTTTGTCACGCGTTTCCATTGGGATACAGCCAAGTAGCCCTCGGAAACGCACGTTTATCGCACGTTTTTTACCGCGAATCGCTGTAAAAACGCGCGACAAACGCGCATATTCGATACGCCTAGGTGTGAACAGAGCCTAAGCATAAGCACTTAGGGGTCTGTTTATGTTTTTTACACGAGATTCACACAATTTTCAATCAAATCCAATTTTTAACAAGTGTAAATTGGGTGAAAGTTGTATCAATCTTGGGCGGGAACATTTATCAATAGACCCCTTATTGTTTTGTATTATTAGATACCTTATATTACCTTATCTTACATGGAAGAAAAAAGTTTTTGCACTGTTTACCTTAAATAATTTTTATTTGATTATCCTATTTTTACATCTTGTTCCTTACATCACTTGCTCCCCCCATTATTATTATTATTATTTTTTAAGAAGGAAAGTATGTGGACGTGATTCTCATTATATACTGTATAAGCATTGGGCAGCTAATTTTAGAAAAATATCTTGCTTTCCATTATTCTGGATTTCTGTTTAATTTGATTTGTAATGCATTTTATTATCATGATTGTATTTTTGTCAGTGCCGACTCCAGAAGAAATGTCAAGTCTTACTCCAGAATCCTCACCAGAGTGAGTACTACTTCATTAATTGTGTTACATGAGGAGCATATTGGGTGTCATGTATCATACTGTCTGAGGGATGCCTTAAGTTGACCATAAATCCAGTTCTCTATGAAACGCATGAAATTCGTTCCATGGCAGTCCCTGTCGGCTGTGACTGCACTGTTCAGGTACATATGCCCGTTGGGGAGGATTCCCGTTTTGCTACTGTAGAGAGAGAACTATAAGTTTATGGGAGCCTTTATCCACTCTGAAGAAAAGGGAGAAGCTGACTGGTTGCTGTTGGGCTACAACAGACTTTCCCACTAAAGACCCTTACATGTTCTGTTCTTCTTCCATGAACTTGTTGAGTTTTCCTGATTGTGAGTACAGAGTAACCTATATGACATTAGAGAGATATAAAAGTGCATCTCTAACTAAGCAATTTTATGTTGCCGATTGTTTGTAAGGTTGTGTCCGTACTGTTATGAACCGTATATTGCTGCTGTGTTGCATGGTATAAGGAGGGTGACAGCATTAATTAAGGGCTTACAACTTTGCAAACTCCATGTCACTTCCCTGCCATTTGCGTGCTGTTTGGACTAGTGTACATCAGTGCACTGGAGTTGCTCATCCTGAGTTCTCTTCTTTCCAATTTTGCCTGTCATCTTCAAAAAAAATATTTCCTAGCTTTCAGAAATAATTCATAAGGGAAGTAAAGGTTGGATCTGTATTTCATTTTGCCTAGAAATGTCTTCTAACAAGCATATATGGGAACAGAGTTCCTGTATACACGGGTTCACAAGACTTTAGAACCCAATATTAGGTCTGCACCATTCCCTGAGTATAGAACTTTCCTCTGACCCTATATCATGTTATTACAGTGACCCAGTCACATGGATATGTAAACAGAATTCAGATAAAAGGGAAAGTATAGCTGCTAATTAATATATGAAACTAATTTAAATTATCTTCATAACCATGAAATGTAAAATTCCCTCTTTCCCTTTACTTTCTCTCATTTTAGGCTTGCAAAGAAGTCCTGGTTTGGTAACTTCATTAACTTAGATAAAGAAGAACAGATATTTGTAGTGATTAAAGACAAACCTCTCAGCTCAATAAAGGCTGATATCGTCCATGCTTTCCTCTCAGTAAGTATGTTCTTCATTTATTGTATTTGTATTCACTTGTGTGAAATGGAAAAGCTGCTGGACTATGATTTTTGACAAAATAGAGGCCATGTGTTGAAAATTAGTAGTTACAGAAAGCATAAGCGATGAAGAATAATGAAAAAAACACAGTGACAGTTTTCAAGTAACCAGCAATCACTACTTGATCTGATGACAGGTGATGAATAAAAGTTTGAACGGTATTGTTATGAAGCAGAGGCTTTACACTTAAAATTCAATCAATAAAAAATGAATAAACAGAATCATCTGCATCAAAATTGCACCGTTCATGCTTTAGTTTTTAGAACATATAAGAAGTCAACTGTTTTCCAAGTACCACATTCGCATCACAACTGAATGAAAAGGTTTAAAAAAAAATCAGCATATGTACATTTTTACACACTACAGGCCTACGTCCGGAATTTCTGCGCACCGTAGCTCCACTGCGGTGCATAGAAATTATAAAAATTATACATTTCAATAAAGGTAAACAAGAGGTGAATAGTGCCTTGCGTTGCCAAAACCGACCCACCACCGACACACACAAAACACTAGCCAAAACCCTAACACGAATCATTAATGTGAACGGGCCATAAAGGAACAGAAACATAATATAACTTTTTATTTTTGCACGGAAAGGACAATAGATACAAGGCCTACATACTGCCTTATTCCTACAGTCTCTTTCTTGCCTTAATAGGAAACAATTGATAAAAACCACTAAAAAAAAGAAAAATTAGGTGTGAAAGCAAATGATGCTTCTTTACACTCCTTAGCATCAAATGTTACTTATCACCTACCCAGTCCTAGGAAATTGGAAAACAATTGGAAAGACAACTTGTGCTTCTATTATAATGTAAATATTAAGGATATCCTTATGTGACCTCTCATCTCTTGTTAGTTGAGCACCCTGATAGTTTTTGAACAACATCATCTTGAAAGTTTTTGCAGTTTTTATACAGTTTTTATATTATATTCGATAGCATTGTACAGCAGAGTATACAGAAAAGATGCAAAGATAAGTGTTGAACATAACATGAGAGGAGAAGTAGTACAGCCCTGCTTGTTAAAGCTTACAATAGCATAGTTAAACATTTTGCTTAATTCCTTCTTTTTATCTTCCTTTAGATCCCAAGCTTAAGTCACAGCGTGATCTCTCAGACCAGCTTCAGGGCGGAGTACAAGTCATCAGGGGGTCCATCTGTGTTCCAGAAACCTGTCAAATTTCAGGTGGACATCAGTTACTCCGAGGGAGCTGAGGCACACAAAGAGAATGGCATCTACTCTGTGACCTTCACTCTAATATCAGGTAAACTTGCTGTGCATGCTATTGGCAAGAGCAAATAGAGAGGACAGGATTTTTTTTGATGACGAGATGAATTAATCTAATGGAAAACAGGCTCTTAGGGAGTTTCACACATCCAGGGTATTCAGAAAAACTGGGAGAAGTGTAAGCTACCTCTGTGGGAACGACATGTCTCAGCTGCTGCAGAGGCTTCTAAGAGGCCAAATTGTCAATCATTCTTTTGTTCTGTAAATTTGGGAAGCACTCTGTAACACAGTTACAAAAGCAAAAAATTGATTGACAGCTGTGCTTGACAGCATCTTCCGTGATGGACAAGCGTCTTCCCTTGACGGCACAATTCATTACACTGTCACACGCCTGGGAATTAGTTTCTTTGTTCCCACCAAGGACATTCTGCCCTGATCACAAAACTTGATTTCAACCTGCAGTTCATTAATTGACAGGCTGTTATGTTTTATATTTGGAGAATGGTCAGTTCCTAACTTGCAACTGAACATATCAAGACTTGGAAAGTGTATATGGAAATGTTGCTAGTTTTTTTAATGTTTGTAGAACAGAAAACAAAAGTACATTAATTCAATTCAACAGTTTTATATAGAGAATTTGAAATAGCCATTGTGATGAGTAATATTTTGTACAGTTGAAGTTAAAGTTACACTCTATACAGTCAATGGAAAATTGACCTTCAAGACACATACAGGGAGTTCAGCCTATCTTCACAGTACTTTTAGATCTTCAGACATTGCTGTAATCTGTCAGTCCACCACTTTACCTTCTGTTGGTAACTTGGTGATTCGGGAACACCTGCTTGTGATAACAGAGAGCTATTCCAAAACTCAGCCACTCCAGGCTCCTTACTGTTTCTTCCATACAGAAAGTTTCATGTAAAGTAAATGTCAGTACCAGGAGGTTTTTCGAGGGCACCAGTCAAGATTCATATCTGCCATGACATCACCACCTCTCATCCAACTGGAGAATGCCTAGTATGCATTAAGTTACAAAAAGAACCCAAAAGGGAACACTGAATAAATGGACTGTATTTGGTACCCATAAAAGTATAAACACTTTATTAGGATCATAAAATATTATACACATCTATAAAATCAAGTTTCATCATACATACTGTAGGATGTTATTCACAAAGGATCCAGCCGTAGCTTTGGCTGATCTTTCGGCTCTCTCCGGCCACAGGAGCCCTTCGGTTCAGTCAAACCGAAGGGCTGCTGTATGGGCTATTCACTATAGCCCGTACAGCAGCTGAAGGCGGGCGAGTCGCTCAGCTGAGCCGAAGTGACAGCCGAATCGAGGCAAACGGCCTGTCGAAGGCCAGCCGTAAGCCCCGCAAATGACAGCCCCGCCCAGTTGTAATTACAGATTTGCTGCGTCCCCTGGACCCGGGGACGGTTATCTGTCAATAAGCAATAACAACTGGGGGGAGCCAGCCATGACGTCAGGGCCCAGTTGTTATTTATTGGCCGCGACTTGCTAGAAGACTGTCACTGCTAGCTCCACCCAATTGTTTTTTATTTATTTATATTTTAATTTCACTATCTATTAACATTTTAAAAGTATTTTTTTTCTACAATTTTCCTTATTTTCTATTATTATATTCTTCTATTCTGCTCGGTACCATGGAGGTAGCGAGCAGAATAGCCTGGCCGAATGCCTATGAGATTAGGGGCGAACGGCAGCGAGTGAGCTGCCGGATTTTCGGCTCAGCCGATCCAGATGTTGGATTGGCTGAGTCGAAGTCCTTCTGGGAGGGGTTCAACAGTAATATATATCAGATAATTGTTCCTTATGACCATACATGCAAGTTACTCGTCTCCTTTTATAGATAGTTGTACAAACCTCTTCTTGGATACCAAAAAATTCAATTTATTTGGTGTTCCCTTTTGGGTTCTTTTTGTAACATATGATGAGGATGGGGTACCTAATATATGAAATAGATTTCACTTATCTGGCTCAGGCTAATTATAGTAAAGTATTCATTGAGAAAAATATTAAACATCCTCTAAATGGCTGCTCTCCTGAACGAACAACCCGCTGTGCTTTAACAGCACAGAGGACGTCGCTCAGCCCAACAGTGGTTGCAGGCCCTGCCAGAGATCATTTATATATACTTACATTGTGCCAAGCTGGACCAATATAAGTATGTAATCATTTTAAAAGCTGGAGTTCAGATTCAAGTAAACTGAGTGCACTTGCTGGCTCTCAAAGTACCGGCCCGAGGGCCAACTCTGGCCCGCGGACGGGTACTATGTGGCCCGCAGCAGGCTGACAAGTCAGGTATGTAGTCACGGACCACATACTTGACTTGCGGGAGCAGCTACATGATCTGCATCTCTGTCAGATGCAGGCCGCATAGCTGCTCCTATCGGTGCCAGTGCTTAGTCATTGCTTTCGGCCGGCGTTCAGAGAGCGACGGCTGAAAGGATGATTAGCAAGATGCACCAGCCAAAGGTACTTACTAACCTTACCAATCAACCACTGGATCACCATGGATCATCTTAGAACAAATCATGACAGCGTGCCAAAGAAGGTACTAATCAACAACTGTGCAACCACAACCACTGGACAATACACACACACACACAAACCATCACAAACAATATACTGAAATTGCATACAAACACATTTACTGACGTTATAAACACACAGACATTAATACTGCTACTGTCTATAGTAAAATTTTATTTTGAAGTAGGAAATAGTATGAGATTTGGCAAGCGGCCTCCATGGGAGAAGAAAATGTGTCCAGTGATCCCCAAGTGAATTGAGTTTGAGACCCCTGGCTAAACCTCTTTGCTTTCACTTGCTGCCTGTAATCATTCTAAATACTGTATAGTGAGAAGGATTTATCAAAATTGGAGCAGACATAATCTGGAGGAGTTGTCCATGGCAACCAATCAGATTCCATCTTTAATTTTGAAAGCTAAACTGAAAAGAGAAGCTGATTGGTTGCTATGAGGGACAGCTCCAGATTCTGCCTGCTCCAGTTTTGATGAATTCCCCCCAATGTATTATGAATGTTCCACTAAATGTAGCTCCGTATCCTCTCTTCATTCTCACACTTACAGCTAATACTCAGTTTACTAAGCTATAGTGTATATGTAACTTTCTTTTGGCCATGCGTTATTTTAAGCTCTCTTTGTCTCTTGTTGATCAAAATGCTTGTCATCATAGTAAATAATAATCTTTATAGGTTAGTAAATTGAGCCTGTGATGTGGTAGTCTAACCTCTGGACTATTTTTACAACTGTTTGGAAAGAAAAAAACATAGTAGTAATAGTATTGGCAAAGAGGAAGATGATGGCCCCCATAGTGTTCTACAGTAATCAATATCCAGATCCATTCCTAGTGCATAGAAATATGCTCTAAACAATACATTTCAATCACTTGTAGAAGGGAGCTGTTGCTGGAGGTTACTATTTAGGACAGTTTTTCTTCTCAATTGCTCTTACTTTCTAACTTGAACAGAAACAAATCAGTTGAAATGAATGAAAAATAAACACCAGATGCTGAATTTTTTCTCAAATTTGATGGAAATAATAAAAAAATATAGCAGAATTGAATGGCGAAATGACCGGATTTAAATTATGATCAGGAACGTTATTTATTTAGATGTTTTTTTATTGCTGCCTTCAGTTTCAGGCATGTTTATGTTTCAGAAAATGTGACCTAGAATTAAAGTCATGGCAATGGAACTGCCTCACCTTATAAATGAATGCATTTCCAGTAGTTATTTAATTTTTCTGAGTATTTTATCCATGTGCATTCAGTGCCTATTTTTTTGTTCATGTCTCTCCAGGTCCCAGTCGCAGGTTTAAGAGAGTTGTAGAAACTATTCAGGCGCAGCTTCTGAGCACACATGATCAGCCTTCAGTTCAGGCACTAGCAGGTATGAACATGATTTTTACTGTATGTTAAAAGCAAAAAAGCAAAACAATAATGTCCTTCAGTGTCCCCTTTGTATTAACACAGTGTTTCCCCTAAGCTGGCCATACACTGGTAGATTTTCATAAGAATGTCCATACCAAAAATCTCATCAGTACATTCAATAATTAAACAATCGGAGACCTGACAAATGTTGGAAGTCTTGTTTGATTTTAACATTCAGTTGTGGAATAAATGGAGTGTCGTAAACGAAAACCACTTTCACTGTTAGAATTTTGTTCATTCAAAAAAAAAAAATCAATTTTGCTCCTTCAACTTTTATTGTCACTGTGCTCCAAAACAATCATTGATTTGACCTTATTAACTATTGGAACATCAAGTGAACGCTTGAAAAACTATTTTTTAAAACAAATTTCTACTGGTGTATGGACAGCTTTTGTATACATACCACTGCTGTTACACATCCTCAATGCAGGTAGCATATAACATAGCTCACGATTAATGGGCAGACTCTCAGTATAATAAGTGTAGCTCAATGTTAGCAGTGGCAGACACTACAGGGAGCAGGGTGATTTTATCAGCAGTCTGCATGTGTCTGCTTAGACTCCAGACTTCCACCATGGCTACGACTGCATCGTGGCAGCATTGATGAAAGGCAATATTTTTACAAAACAGATGGTTTTTGAACACAGTAAAGTTGTGATGGCAATAAATGACTGACAGAAACCACCTTTCTGGCAGTCCTTCTCATAACATAAATTATCCTTCTATAGTCCGCCATTACATTTGTTATGGATTTAGAAAAAAGTAGTTTTAGATCCTGGCCACCAAATGTGAAAAAAACCTACTGAAATGTATTATTGCTTTTCTTCTAATGTAACACTTATTGTACACGATAATCAGTAATATTTTATTCTCTGAGGCCAAATTCAGCGGGACTGCTACAGTTCGGTTTAATTTAGCCTCAAATGATATCATATTGATTTCCTTTTAATGACGGGGTGGTATATACAATTAATGTTCAAGAGACTTTCCTATAACACAGTTGGATATGGAACAATGACTCATTGCCGTAATATGATATTTATATATGTCCTTCATAGATCTATTTAGAACTCGAGAAAAAAGCTGGATGGTGCAAATATGCGAAACAATATAGTACACACTGCATGCATGTTCCATCTAGCTATGAAACCTAGCGCTACCCAGTTGCTTCAAGTTGGCTATGTGAGCAGGGCACTCCAACTTCTCCAATGCAGTTTTGTCTACTGTGTTAATTACCAAAAATTCACTCTGTGTTTTTGCCCACTAGGAGCTCTTCTTCTTCTTCTAATAGGTCTAAACATTAAAATGAACCTGTGGTCAGGCCATGGACATTCAAATATTTACATATTAATAAAAATCTCCCCATAAGACAGAAGAACCTGCTGGGTAATTTAATCTTTTGACATCCACCCAAACTTAAAATATCTGTTTTTCTTGGACTGACCCATAAAGCTGACTTCTGATATAAACACGTCTATCCTATTGTATACCTCTTGCAGCATTATAACAGTGAACAGTAACTGAAGCTATGAAGTATTTACTATTTCGAAAGGAAATTATGCTTTGAGTTCCCTGCAGTGCCAGTCGCGTGACCAGTGCAACAGCATAAGTCAAATGATCTCTGCCAAAAGTGAGGCCATTGCTGAGGCTGAGTTGTTAAATGGACATTTCTATACATCCGTGACCCATGCCTATTAAGGAGAGGTCAGCTTACCAATGCTACAGACAACATAAACCAAAGATGATTGGAGCATAGTGTCCTTCATGAACTTCAGTTACTATCTGTTGATTTAGTGCACCAACAGGGGCACAGTAGGTTAGACATGAGTTTACACTACATGTCAGCTTTCAAACAAAGTCATTTGCAGTTATTTCTGTTGTCAATTTGCATTCAGTTCTCTGTTTGACTATTAGGCTGTAAGTTTCCTTCTACAAGCGATAAGTGCAACTAATGATTTCATTTAGGAGCAAATATAACAGCAAGAACCCAGATGGAGTGTTCCCTGGATCACCTTCTCTTCTCACCACCAGATGAGAAGAATGGACATCAAAGCCGACCGCCAGGCACTCCTACTCGAGGCTGCCAGAACTCACGTCGCTCCGAGCCTGACATGGCAGAGCACCATCGGCGAGGATCCTCCAAAGACAAGAAACTTTTGGCTTCCAATGGAACGCAAACACAGCCATGACCATGGGGGAACACATGGTGTCAGGACATACTGGCACAGATCTGATCAAACACTACAAATATGAACAAAACGATGCAAGAGAAGGCAGCGCCCTGATGTCTGAGAGAAAACTTCTATGGATACGCTTACATAGAGATACACAGGCATATATCCTATCCCAGGTGTACACACATACACACACACTTACATGTGTGCCAGGATATAGACTGTTACGCATACCCAAGTTTCCAAAAAAAAGAAATTGATACACAAACATGTACAACTGCACGAACATACAGAGCAATGAGCACATACACCGCAAAAGAGCAAGAGAGCAAGACGCAGGAGCTACTTGTTGGCATTACTGTGAAGATGTAAATATTTCCAAAAAATCAAAAATAAGAAAAAAAAAAGGGAAACAGCAAATGGAAATCAAGAAAATAAAACAGAAGGATACAAAATCTATGAAGAAACTGAAATTCTTCTTTAATATGTTTATTATTTTTTTTTAATATATTTATTTATTTATTCATTTGCACCCCTTTGGGAGTGGGGCTATTTAATTTCACAATTAGTTTTATTTTGTTATTTGTTTTCCTTGGGCAGCTGAAGACAACAGACCTGACTTATTTGCACATACCCACACTTCATACGTGTGAGTATAGTGTGCTCAATTACCTTGGTTCAGATCGTTCCATCCTTTTGTGAGGCTGCAATATAGACTTGCAACATGTATG